TAAAACAAGCTGTACAATCAGGTCAGATGAAGTGGATAGAAAAGTAAGACGCTACAAATGCACCGTTAGCCATCGATGGGTTGACTATTTTCCGCAGTTCCCGGAAGCAGGTGTGGCCTGTTCTCGGTCGCCTAATACAACCACAAACGGAGTTTATCATCATTGGAGTTTACTGCCGGCTATGTAAAACGAAAAACGTCACACAGTATTCAGCAGCATTCATTGATGAGTTGCGCCGTTGTGAATCTGCTGGCTTTAGATTGCCATTCGAGGGTTCTGCGGTTTCCTCGGAGTTGAACAACATAATGTGTGACGCTTCAGCTCGTGCATTTGTAAAGCAAATTGAATATCACAGGGGATACAACTCATGTGAGCGTTGTGTTGCATCTGGTTTGCACGATTGGAATAAACTGGTGTTTCCTCACACAACATACCGTGCAAGGACTGATACTGCCTTCCGTTCTTGACGTGAGGAAGAACACCATGTCGGGGATTCACCTTCTGAGTTGTTAAAAGTGGATATGATCAAGGTGTTCCCCTTGGAATACATGCATCTTCTATGTTTGTTACTCTGCAAAAGATTTATCAACCTTTGAAGGATCAGTCCAGTTGCAAATAATACCCGACTGAGTTTTCAGCCTTGTGTCAAATCTCACAGCGACTGGACGGTGTGAGAAGTTGTTTGCCATGCAATTTCTCACGCAAGCGCAAGAATTTTGATGACTTCGAACGGTGGAAAGCCTCGGAATTCAGACAGGTTTTGTGATCCCTGTGGTCCTCAGGGGTATATTAAACCCTAAAGTATATGAGAACTTTTTAAATTTTTCCATTGTCTTTCATAGTTTGGCTCATTCATGATTTTGCAAGCATTATATGGACTTCATTGAAGACATGATGCATCAACTGCTAAATCACTTTGTGGCTCTGTACGAGAAGAGTGAATTGATGTATAACGTGCACTGTCTGTCTCATCTGGCAGATGATTTCAGACAGCTTGTTGCAGTAGATAATTATTCAGATTTTCCTTTTGAATCCTTCACGGGTGAGCTGCAAAGACTCGTGCGATCTCACAGGATGCCTGCTGAACGGATATTCCGGCGTATCACTGAAAGGACTTTGGGAAGTACCTTGGTACTTGTAGGTGCTTTCCATACGAATTAAGCAAGGTTTTTTCCGGACAATGCTGTGAATTTGAATGGGCAACCTGGATTTATTGTGGGTGAAGATTGTGATGGACTTCTCGTCAATACATTTGCATCAATACAGCCGTTCTTTGAGAGTTGTGTCAAACCTACGGATTTGTACATCTTTCAATGCAAAAATTTGTTCCCAAGAACAAGGCGGATTGCAAATGTTTATCCCTGCCGGTCAAGACCGGATATGTATTTTATCCCATGCTGCATACATTTTTTCCCACAGAAGTTATTTAAATCACACTGATCGTTCACCAATTTCCCATTCAGGTTCACTTGTAATAAAATTGCTCCTAATTACAGGAAGGATCCGAATGTGAGCAGTGTAAATTAATGAATTGTAAATATCCGATGGTCTATTGTGTGCATAATACAACTCGTTTGCATGCTATATATTTTGCTCATTCATTCATTTTTCATTTTGCGATTCTTTATCAGGATGACGAAAAATCTCTAACAGCATATTTGTTTTTAGATGTACGCGATTGTTGAGTTTGAAAACGAAACAATAACTACTGTTCACAAGAGTTGAATGTTAGACAGTGATCACGTACTCTGGCTCAAGCCGGGTAGGGCTTCCACCCGAATTCTTCTGAAGTTGCTATACTCGAGTGGTCAGCTGCCTGCCAGTGCGAAACCATACAAAGTTGTGATTTTGAAGGAATGCGGTAAGTGGTTAGTAATCTTACCTTCGATTCCTTATTGATGATTATCTTGAAGCTCAAGATTGGATTGGAAGTAATACCATGATCAACCGAATGTGATACAGATGGTCGGGTTGTGTAATGTAGAACTCACATAAACTGAACTTCTGAATGAAACCGTCTGATATTCAGTGATGAGATAGAGTTTAACGTCCCGATGTGGACTCATGTGCTACTAGCACAACCTACGTAACGGAAAGTTAGCTTCAGTCGTGGAGCCTACGTCTCGGGGTCTGGCATTGTCTGGGTGCCAGTTTTAGGATTGCAAAGCCCTAGTTGGCAATTCTAGAAGGGAATCAGGCAGCTGAATATTTATTGAGTTTTTTCTTCCCGAGATTTCAGGCAGTCAGTAGTTTTCAGCACAATAATGCCTCTATAAATAGTGCCAACCCCATTTGAATGTGGTTGATGCTGCTGTTGCGTTCAATGTAGACCGGCTAGCCTTCAGCGTGGATTTGAATCCCATTTAAAATGTTATGAATTCAATGATGAGGCGCGTAAGCGCACTTTTCACGAATTAGTTATCCTTCGGGAGTGGAACAATTTCGAAGCTCAAACAATCAGGAATCTGATCGGCAATATACCTAACTGTCTTGTTTCAGTAAATAAAGAATCTCTGAGTGTTTTAAAACCTCATGGATGTTTTCATCATTTTGCCTGAGGTGGGTTACCAATATTTTGCTCCCTAATGAAAACTTTCGAGGATAATTCGATTCAGTAAAGTTATAATCAAATTCTATTTATTTGTTCTATAAGGTCGTCTTTAGTATCGCCATAATACGAAATTTGATGCTTCCGGGTGGTTTGGCTGCCGATAACTTGGGGGAAAATCAGATGGCTTAAGCAGTGTTCCTTGCACTATATTAGGGTATTGAACATTATAACAAGAGCAAATACGAAGCGTATAATGGTAATCAAGAATACATATCACAAGAAAATAAGATTTCCATTTCCTTTATTCCTAATATACATTGATAATAAAGAATAACTTTAGCATCACCAGAAAAATATACTGGTTTATGGAACAATAAAAGTCTTATATGATAAAATATAGTAGGCAGTAGAGGCAAACTGAAAGCAAAAAGCCAATTTTACAGGGTGAAAAAATATTCATATATCTCCTTCTGTCTGCGAATTTCTCCTACAAGACTGAAAAGCATTTTTACCAAATGTCTACCAACTGTACCTAACTGTACGCTCACCACTTATCTCAACGAGTCCATACTTGTAGAACACCGTTCTTAGCCAGATCTACCGAACGCTTTCATCTTAATTCTTCACAAAAAAATCTGCTGGTGCTTTTCAGTATCGTGAAATCTAATTTGCGCTTAGTTCATCTTAGCTTGATTACATAAATGATTCAGAGAAAGAAAAGCCGGGTTATTTGGAATTTCTGACCCCGTATTATATATATATATATATATATATATATATACTGTATAATGCTTGGCACGTGCTGACCTCATTCAACTTTAGTGGCCTCAAGGTCTTTGCATTTAAAACGTTATTTTATCGATCGACGAAGCAGGAAACACATGGTCCCACATGGAGTGTGAGGAAATAGATTTGCGTGCCTTAGATTCCGAACGAACTATTCAATCGGGTAAGCCAGTTATGTATAAGTAGGCTTTTTCGTTTGGATGCCTTGTGACTGATTTCATTTTAACGGAGATACCAAAATACTGGGATTCCTTAACCTTCATGAAACTAGTGTCACGGTAAAGGCACTTACCTATAATGCTATGTCAAATCATCATCGAAGTGAAGTGCAATCAACAAATTGCACAAAGGTTTTAGTGAAGGAATAGAGAAAAATCAAGCGTATAATGAGTATAAGAGCATGGTGATTCTTTCATTTTTGGAAAATTCTGTCATTTAGCAAGTGTCGACATCATTAGCGAACTTATCGATTCTTCTCCGTGTTTGGAATTGATCCGTGACAATATAATTTAGAATTCAAATCAGGAAACGCAGATTTACTGCTTTCCGTAAAACGGGGTCTCTAAATCTATTCTTTGGTTTGAGATAAAATGAAGATTGATAAATTGTTTATTTGACTAAGTCCCACATAGTTCAAAACCAATGCAAGCAGAAAACAACAGAAAAAATAGTCTAGACTCTGACGGGATAAAAATTTTTACAATTTCTAATCTAGACTGATCAGTATGAACCAAATGACAGGGTGGGACATAAGAACGGGCATTATGGTGCGAAATCATTGGTTTAATGAAAATGTCACATAAAGCTATATATTAAACAGCTGTTCGTGATATTTAGTCATTCCGGAAAAGGGATCAGTTGCACGATCAGAAGTAAATCCTCAGAACGTTTAATAAGCATAAAGTATATAAAACTCTCCAAGTAGGTACTCTATCCAGATTATACATTCTCATTTTGTTTATTTTGAGCTTGGCAGCGATCAGTAAACTTCGTGTCACTATATTTCCTTGTGCGATGAAGATGATGAGAATGATGGTGGATAAACACCCCAGTCCGAGATAATAAGAGATTGAATCTATCAGTTTCAGTTTTACAACCATTGACCATGCACTTTCGTGCACGGGTTTTGGTTGCCCATTTGGATAAAATAGCGAAATGAAAATGGGAATATCGAAGCAAATTCAAGCGGAAGATGGGGAATACATATAGTGTGTTAGGAAAATAACGAGTGGATGCACGAGCGCCACTGTTTGCGACACTCAGCCATATCACTCAGTGTCTCTAACCATCGGTGACCATCATCCCGAGGTCCCTAGCCAGGGAGCCTAACGGGGCCTATGTGACTTAGTCTCCTGGTTAGGGTTTTCATACCCTCATGCCAGGTCTTAGTTTAACCACCCCTTATCTTTTTCCAACCGCTACCAGCCTTGGCAAACATCGCTTGCCGCGGCAACCTATCTGGCGACATATGTAACACTTGGCCAACCAGCGTAATCTACGGAGGTCGATCACTTGCTCTAGTGGACAACCGCGACTGCCTAAAACTCTACGCCTAACCTCAGAATTGCTGGTCCGGTTACCCCACCAGACACATGCAATGCTACGTAGACAGCGGTGTTCGAACACCGACAATCTATTTTTATCCTGTTCCCTTAGTGGCCAAGTCTGCATCGTAGAGCAGGACTGGC